TCTTTCCTTATATTTCCTTTTTTTTCCTCCCCTCTCTGCTAACGAAAATAGAAAATTAGGTGATGTTTTTAAGTATTCATTATATTTATTAAATAAACCTTTGTTCCTTATAATGGTCTGTCTCATTAAGAAACTATAAGATGCCTTTTAATTTATAAGGCCTGTGTTCATTACATCCCACTCCATCCTCTACCCCTCCCACCCTCACACATACACACTGTGGTTAATGAAACAAAGCTCTGGCTCTTAGTAATTACATGGGCAGCTTTGGTCTCGGCTTTGATCTTAAATTTTAGATTTCTGTGTTCAATTGGTATATGTTTATTCATTTCATTAATTATGTGAAACAATGAAAGATAGCAAATCAACTTCTAGAGCAGAAGTAGGCAAACTTTTTCTGTAAAAAGTTAAAACTAAGTATTTTAGGCTTTGCAGACCATATGTCTGTCATAATTACTTAACTGTACCATTTGTCACAGTACAAAAACCAGCTGTAGACAATACATAAATGAATGGGCATAGCTGTATTCCAATAAAACTTTGTTCAGAAAATCGGGCAGCAGATGTATGTGTAGTTTGCTGAACCCTGTTCTAGTGTGAATTTCATAAACAACCATCTTAACTTCTCATGTAATTCTGCTGCTTCCTCCAGCATACTAAAGAAGAGAGCTATTATGAACAGATAACTTTAGAGAAAATAATAAGCAGTGTTGCCAGCAGTGTCTTTTTCCCCTTTGTGAAACTTTTTTTTTTTATACAAGAGTGGCACTTAAGGTAGTGTTCTATGTCTTGATAAGGGTTTGAGTGAAATATGTTCATTTGTCAAAACTCGGCAAATGAACATATTCCTACATTTCATTGTATGAAAATTTTATATCAAAAGAAAAAAACCTGATAAATAACAAATCTAGGTAATGATATGCTTGCTTGCCAAGGTATTTGGAAATATTCTAATGTCTGCAGTTTCCTTGAAATGCACCAAAAACAAGATGGATTAAACATACCTGTGTTCACTGCAAAAAAAAATTTTAATGCAAAACATTTTTAAAAAGCAAGGAGACTATCTTTGTTTTGGGGAAACACTAACTGAAGTATTGAAAAGTGAGATGTCATAATGCCTGCAATTTACTTTCAAATGATTCAGCAAAATACGAGTTTATATTGAAAGATAGAAAGCAAATGAGTAAATAAATTATGATATATACATATGATGTAACAATACATATTCTTTACAAACCATGTTTTTTAAAAATATTTAATGGTATATGGCAAGATTCATGATACAGCATGGAAAGAAAAGTACCATCCAGATATATATACGCCATATCCCTAACCTGAAAAACAAACATTTATGCACTGTAAAACTGAATAAGTATATCAAAAGTTAAAAGCAACTATCTCTGGATGAGTGTTATTTTATGTCTTTCTGTATTTTCTAAATTCTCAAGCATAAGCTGATACTATCTAATTTAAAATACAATTTAAAAATTTATACAGGTAGTTCATGAATATATTCTGATTTTTAGAAACGTAAGCAATTTACAAAAGAATATAGAGTAAAAAGCAAATATTCACATCCCTCAGTCCCACTTTTCTTCTCAAAGGAAACTGCATGAAATAATTCAGTGGGCATCCTTTTAGAATATTTTCAATAATAACATTTTTTTTCATACTATTTTAAAGTTAATAGTAGAGCAGTGGGCAGAGGTACCATACTTCAGCTGCATAAGCAATCTATTATAGTTTGAAAGCAAATACCAGCAAAGGTTATTGTGCAAGTTATTTTGCAGTTTTTCCTTTAATGGATTATGCAGATAACTCTTCTTTCAGCGGTAAATAGGACTCATGAATAAATAGCAGTAATTACTTGATGAATCTGAACATCCAACTAGAAGAAACAACCTTAAAATAGAAGGCCAAGAGAGTTGATCTTGGGGTGAAAGAGTTCTTATCCCCTTTTTTTTAATCATTCATTTAATTATGAACATTATTTTTGGACAGCCTGCTTTTGTCTACACAGTCTGTGAGAGGATTAAATACTTAGCAGATTAATTATAGAAACCTAGGACCTTTACCGGCATTGTTTATTCCCTGCTGGCTTCACTCATGGGTCCAAACATAGAGGCAGATCTGAATGTACATGTTTTCTGTCTATATGTCAAATGCAGACATATAGATTAGTTTTGTATTAATGGCCAACAGGAAATTGGCTTACTATATTTACTAGTGTTCACAGATGGTTATATAAGTGAAGATATTTGTGCTTCAAGGACCCAGGCCAGAGGGGCATTTAAGCAGTAAGCACTTTAGGCCTCACGGACCTAATTCCACCAAAGCACAAATGAATAATACACAGAATCATTGTTCTGGATCAGCTTTTGGTTATGTGGATTATATCTATTGGTATTTACCATGTTATAAATTAAAACAACTTGTTTAAATGTTCGTTTGTAAAAGATTGATAATGGTGACATAGTGTATTTTTATCAAAATGAAATAAATGAAAATTTAGTGAGAAGAGTGACATCGCTTTACATTTTGGATACATTTCTTTGGCTTAGAAGTCAGCTAGAGTCTCCTCTCTGCTTCTCCGTTCAGTGTATTCATGTAGCACCTGTCATACAGCTCCCGGAAAACTCCGCTGTACAATTTTGAGAGAATGAGGGTGAAATAACATCTTAGTAGTATTATTAAAATGATTTTAGCCTCACAGACGCCCTGAAAGGATCTTTGGGGCCCTAGACCACACTTTAAGAAACACTGCTATATTAAACTGCCAAGTACGTTTCAGGTTATTGCTTTATTTTCACTATGCAGATGCAACTATAAATCTTTTATTTGCCAGATTTTATGCTCAGTCATGATGAAATTGCTGTTTTAATTAGCAGACAAAAACGATTGGTCTGCAGATGAATAAGATTATGGTTTTAAACGATTGTCTTTGTTCCTTTCTTCCTTCAGGTGCGTTTGGTGTCAGAAAACAGTACATGATGAGTGCATGAAAAATAGCTTAAAGAATGAAAAGTGTGATTTTGGAGAATTCAAAAGCCTCATCATTCCGCCAAGTTATTTAACTTCTATTAATCAGATGCGTAAAGACAAAAAAACAGATTATGCAGTGGTAATCAGAGTTTATTCTTCCTATGTAATTAATTTCCAGAAAGTTGTTTGAGTTTGTGTGTGAGAGTTGCGACTGCATGGATGTGTGTGTCGAGTAGAATTATTATGGTAAATCATAAAACCCTACCCAGTTCCTAGAGATGTGCCACAAATCTTGAGCTCTTCCATGTCTGAAGGGAAATTGGAAATGTTATCTTAGTGGTTTCTAAATCACTGCCTGCATCTGAATCACTTGGGGACCTTTTTTAAAAATACAGATTCCTGAATCCACCGCCATTACCACATTCGATTTCGTAGGTCTAGGGTAGGTCTCGAAACCCATGTTTTTTAAGGTCTTTGGATGATTCTGAGGAACAGCCAGGTTTGGTGTTCATGATTGTTGTCAATGAGAAGGAAAGACAGATTTTCCTTACACGTTGTTCTAGAAGAATCTTTCCGTTTGGAACTTTACATAGGGTGCCTGGAGATACCTTTACATTGCACATCCGATGCTCCCACGCAATGTTAAACATTAAAGCTGTTAATAACTTTGCAACATGTTTGTATATGAAAATTGATGTAAATGTATCTCTCAGTCTTTATGTAACTCTTAAGGAATCACTATAAAAACTTGCATTTATTTCCTACTTGAATATGCCATAGAGTTGGACTGTTTTATTTTAAAATTAAACTGTGCTTTTTCCAAGTTAGAATTTTATATCTTAAATGTCATCTTTGTTGATATTCTTGCAAAACGAAGAGGTATTTTAAAACATTATGTTTAATGTTGTTGTGATACATATTTTTTAAATGTACAACCCCTTATGTGTCCAAATTCAATCTGAGATCACAAGGGATGACGATCACTAAGAAAAATGAGACACAAGTGAAGGGAAGAGGAAAGAAATTGTTTGGTTAGAAAAACAACTTCATTTGACTTTGGGCTTTGTACAAATCTGGATTCTTGCATCTATTTCTCAGTACCCCCGTTTAAAATTTAAAAAAAGAAAGAAAAAAAAAAAACCTTCCAAACAAAAATATATTAGAATACCTCCAGAAAAGGACAGTCAAGGTGAAAGAGCAGAGAAACTCAATGTCCATTCTATGAACAATTGAAAGAACTTAAAATATATTGCATAGGAGAAAAGTTATATAGAACAAATGACATTTCTGGTTGTTTCAGGAAGCAAACTTAGAACAAACAATAAAAGTTATTGAAAGACAGGTTTTTAACTTAAGTGAAAACTTTCTAATAATTTGATTTAGCAGTGGAATAGGCTGCCTTGTTAGTGAATTCCTTCTCATACCGGTATCCAAGCATATGCTAAAAGACTTAGCTAGAATAATATAGAAGAGAATTATACGTTAAGTGGAAGTTAAATTAGTTCATCTCTAAGTCCCTTTTCATTCTTAGAATTCTTTGATTTTCATATTGTATTGATTGTACTGTGATAGTGGCGTTTTTCTCAGCAAATTACAGCACTGTTATCAAGAAATGAAAACTTTACTGCTCACCATTTTTGAGATATTTAACCCTTTTGCTTGCCTTAATTTTTTTAGCTAGCCTCTGAGCTTGGAAAGCAGTGGACTCCATTAATAATCCTGGCCAACTCCCGTAGTGGAACTAACATGGGCGAAGGACTGTTGGGAGAATTTAGAATCCTCCTAAATCCAGTCCAGGTAACTAAAGAAACTTCATGTCTGAATTAATCTTTTCATTTTTAACTTTTCGCTTTCCCTAAATTATAATGGTTGTTACTGCTTTAAACCAGTAATCAATAATTATAAGAAAGAAGAATAATTATGAAAGTATCAAGCGATTCGGGGATAGAAAATGGTACAACCACATTAAAAAACAGTTCAGCAGTTTCTTAAAAAGCTAAATATATATTTATCACACCACCTAGCAATCCTATTTTTAGGATTCGACCCAAGGAAAATATGTCCCACAAAGACTTATGCAAATGTTCATAGCAACATCTTTCATAATAGCCAAAAAGCAGAAATAATCAAACTGTCCATCAGTCGGTGAGTGGATAAAACAAGATGTGGCATACCCATGCGGTGGAATGTTATTCAGCGACAGAACAAACCACTGATACATACACACTAAAATGAATGAACCTCTAAAACATGCTAAGTGAAAGAAATCAGATGCAAGGGGCCCTTAGGGGTAGGATTCAGTTTATGTGACCTGCGAGAAAAGGCTAACTATGGAAACAGAGTCTCTTAGTGGCTGCCTGAGGCTAGGGCTGGAAATTGGAAGTGACTGCACTGTGCACATTGAGGGATCTTATTGGAGCTAAACTGGACTATAGTGGCGGTTCCACAACGCAATAAACTTACTAAAAATTATTTGTTTACTTGAAATGAGTGAATTTCATTATATGTAAATTATACCTCAGTTAAAAAAATAAGAGTGGGGAGGGGGGAGGTAGACAGGGTAAAAGAGATCAAATATGTGGTGACAGAAAGAGATCTAACTATGGGTGGTGAATGCACAAATATGTATACGCCTTACTGTTAAAATGTACAGCTGAACTTACTGGATTTTGTTAACCAGTGTCACCATAAAAATTAGATTTTTTTTTAATTTTTTAAAAATAAAGATCGTGCCACTAACATTGAGGTTATATGCTAGTAGCTTCTACATTGAAAAACTAAACCCCCATTGTGCAACAATCAAAAATGCAATAACTTTTTTCCTTCCAATTTGTACTTTTCCCTTTTAGTGCTACATAACTTAAGGAAATTATAAAAATAATAAAAAAGGAAAGAGAAAGTCACCTGCAATTTCTCTACCCAAACACATCATTGTTTTCATTTGTTTGTGTTCTTTCCGTAAATTCTCTGTGCATCTACATATTAACATTACTGTAACAATAATCTAGATACAAATTTGCATTGTTTTCTTTACCTAAAGGTATAAATATTTTTCCATGTTGCAACATAGTCCTCATAATTATATATGTAATGACTTAGATAATTAATCTAATGGATGTATAATATTATTTATCTGGTCTGCCATTGGAGGTTAGTTTGTCTCTAAAGTTGTACATTTGTAAATAACGCCACAATGAAAACCTTTCTACATGGTATTTTCATCTTTTGGAAAGTTTTCATAGATCATTTACAGAATTATCAATATTGAGGATCCTTGTATCTTTGTCATTTTATGCATGTTGCAAAATTGTTTTCTAGAAATGTATACTAAGTTATACTAGTAATGGATTTTTTAAATCCAGTTTAAAATATGAAGCACTAGTTAATGTTAAACATCACATTCTGGTTTCATGTGAACAGGCAGGAAGGAGTGTCAAATAGAAAAGATTGAATTTGTATGTCCGCATTTAATTATTAGAGAAATCATAGACAAGTTATTTAACCTTCCTGTGCCTTGATTTCCTGGTCAATAGAATGAGGCTTGCTCATTTTTATAGGGTCAGAGTTGGAATGAGCCAAAATGAATATTAAGAGTCTAGTGTAATTCCACTTCTGGGTTTTTATCCTAAGAAATCCAGAGCACTAATTTGAAAAAACATGCACCCCTCTGTTCATTGCAGCATTATTTACGATAGCCAAGATATGGAAACAGCCTAAGGGTCCATCAATAGATGAATGGATAAGGAACACACACACACACACACACACACACACACACACACAATGGAATATTAGTCATAAAAAAGAAAATCTTGCCACTTGCAACAATGTGGATGGATCGAGGAGTATTATGCTAAGTGAAATAAGTCAGACAAAAAAAGACAAATACCATATAATTCCACTTAATGTGTGGAATCTAAAAAACAAAGGAACAAACCAAACATGCTTATAGATACAGAAAACAAATTGATGGTCCCCAGATGGGAGGGGGGATGGAGGGATGGGTGAAAAAGGTGAAAGGGATTAAATACAAATCACCGGTTATAAAAATGGTCACAGGGATGTAAAGTACCGCATAGGGAATATAGTCAATAATACTGTAATAACTATCTATGTATGGTGTCAGATGGGTACTAGATTTATCGAGGAGATCACTTCATAAGGTTTGTAAATGTCTAATCACTGTGCTGTACACTTGAGACTAATATAATACTGTATGTCAACTATAATTGGAAAATAATTTTTTTTTTAAGTTTTAAAAGATGTAAAGGAAAATAGAGTCAGGCATAGAGCATGACATATTGTTAAAGATGAATGCATTGTAGCCAGTCTTGTTATTTAATCATATCTGTACTCATCTAGAGACAAATCATCTTCAGAAGTGGAGGGCAGTGCTGGATAAAAATTTTTTCTTTTCTTTCATTTCTAGGTTTTTGATGTAACTAAAACTCCTCCTTTCAAAGCCCTGCAACTTTGTACTCTTCTTCCTTATTACTCAGCTCGAGTACTTGTTTGCGGCGGGGATGGGACTGTGGGCTGGGTCCTGGATGCAGTTGATGAAATGAAGATTAAGGTATCGACCTTTAAGACCAACTTGCCTTTTACAGAAGCACTTCCAAGATAATTATACAATATTTTTTATTATATTTTTATTCAGATGTATATAAGAAAACCACCAATTTTGGATATTGTAGTTAAGCAGTTAGCATAACCTTTAGGAAAACAACATACAGTTATTATATTTGTATCTTTATTGCTTTGGTCTTTAAGTTTTACCAAATATTATCCTCCAAATAGTCTAAAGAGAAAAATCTAAACTCTATCTTTCATATTCTAGGGACAAGAAAAATACATTCCACAGGTTGCAGTGCTGCCTCTGGGAACAGGCAATGATCTCTCCAATACACTGGGTTGGGGTACAGGTTATGCAGGAGAAATCCCAGTCGCACAGGTCTTAAGAAATGTGATGGAAGCAGATGGAATTAAACTGGACAGGTAAGTCACACTTCCCCCAAAAGTAGATTTCTTGAGCTCTGAGAGTATTATTTGATTTATAAACAAAGTCTTGTGTAAGTTATAAAGTTAAATGTAATTTAAAAGTAAAAAATTGTCTTAGTTGTACTTATACATAGATGCTGGTATTTTATTTTGCTGTATATTTTGTCATATAAGGACTGAAGTCATAAGCTGATTACTTATCTCAAAATTTGCATACTCAGATGTGCTTATTTTTTTTAATGCTGTATTAATAGAGGGACCTCATATCCTAGGCATCCAGAGTTGATTGGTAGTAATTATCGTTAATTACCAGTTAATCTAGAAATAATTATAATTTTTTTTAATTTCTGTCTTTTAGATGGAAAGTTCAAGTAACAAATAAAGGATACTACAACTTGAGAAAACCCAAGGTATGTTTTTAGGGCTTCAGTTGTGAGTAGTTTCAATGAACATGATGGAGTCCCTCCATGGTACAGGATGCGTCACTGTGGTGGGACGCACAGACCTGGCACTTCTCTCAAGGGACCTGGTTATGGAGCGGAAAACAACCCCATGTGCTCTGCTCCCGAGCTGGACTGTAACTGTGGGAGAGAGCCCCATGCAGGGCGCTGAGTTCTGCCCTGGTAGATCGGGCATAAAAGACTTCAGGGTCCTTAAAAGGTAAATATAATTTAGGTCAACAGAGATAAGAGCAAGACTTTCTAGGCAGAGTAAGTAGAGACTAGATGGTACAAATCATGGTTAACAAATAATACAGAAAAAGCAGATCTGTATTTTTAAAAAGATGCTCTGGAGACAGTGTGAAAATAGCTTAGAAACCCGCACAAGAGCAAAAAGAGGGGAATGGTAGGATGAGGACAATTCCAAGACATTTTAAAGGTAGAATTGATCAAGATTTGGCAGCCAGTTGGCATTAGGGGAAGAGAAAACATACACATTATTACCAGATTTCTAGTTTTGATGAATGGAGAGCACATTAAGATAAGAAAAATGGAGTTTCAGGTTTGAATAGGAAGAAAATGAGATTTGGGGTATATTAACCTCGAGGCTTGAACAAGTAGTTGGAAATTCTGGTTTTATTGCTCAGGAACAGAACAGAGCTGGAGATGTAGACTGAAGAAGCCGGGCTGAGTTGGGAAGTCAGATAAACTAAGGGGGTACCAGTAGTCTGAGTTGAGACTGATAGAAGCAGATGTAATGGGAACACAGGAGTGGGAAGCCTGAGTGCAAAAGCAGAGCCATTCTGGATGATGAGATCTGAGGTGCAGCATCTTAAACAGAAATGGAAAAGGAAATTCATATCTATAGTTATCAGCCTGAAGCATAAAATAGCTCTGTGTGAAGAGTAAATGCAGAAAGTGTTAAATTTTCATAAAGAACATAAAGACTGAGATATACATAACATACCACACAGGCTCAGACTGACACATAATCTGTTGCTCATTCTTACCCTTTTCCACAGGAGTTCACAATGAACAACTATTTTTCTGTTGGACCTGATGCTCTCATGGCTCTCAATTTTCATGCTCACCGTGAGAAGGCACCATCTCTATTTTCTAGCAGAATTCTTAATAAGGTGTGTTGGATAAAATAACATTTCCTGCTTATCACCAAAGGTACAGTGAAAATCAGTGATTCGGTTCTATCTAGCATCCTTTCAAGTAGATTCAGATAGAACTAACTTATGGAAACACTGACCTGCTCTGTTTTGTCTAAGACTATCAAATTAGATCCTTAAACGTATTTTATTAAAGTACTTTCTTTATGACACATTTTTTTAAACATAAAGTTCGATGTTGTATAGCATATTTTGCTTAGAGGGCAACTAAACGGAAAATATTTTACTTAAACGGCAACTAAAATTGGAAAGAAATTTTAGGCAGGATAGATTTTTGGTGAAATCGTTAATGGAAAAATAGATTCCATTGGCTTGAAAAAAACCAAAAGGTAGATAAGGTAAGCAAAGAAAGAGTTTTTTTCACTGGCTTTTAACCAAGATTATCACTCTGGTTTCTAGTAGAGTTGATTCCTTTGGTGGAAGTTTTGTCTTAGAATTTTTTTTTAATGACTGTTGGTGATTGAGAAATAGAATATGAGAAATAAATGCAAAACAATTTTGTTCCTGGTTCTGTTTTACAAATATGTTAAGTTTACAGATGGTTCCCTTTTAATACAGATAGTAAGGCCATAAGTATTGCTCTTTATACAGTTGGTAATTAACAGCATTCTCAGTGCTCCCACCAACCTTTTAATATTCAAAAGTGATTATAAAATGGTTACTAGATTTATCTATATTACTTAAGTAATCTGAAGTTCTAGAAAAAGGTAGAATTTTCTAATTTTAATATAGCTTTTTTGATAAACGGAGAGAAAATACCATTTAGACACAAACCACCCCTATCCCATAGTGTCCCTAAAGAAGAGGCTAACTAAACTCTAAAATAATGGGGTCCCTTCTCCCCACGGAGTATCTGATCCACTCTAAGGAAACATGGCTTAGCATCCATGGCAGGGAATGTTGGTACAGTCTTTTTCTTTCTCGTGGGGCTTGTTTTAATATCATATTTTCTGTTCATTTTTCATAGGCTGTTTACTTATTCTATGGAACCAAAGATTGTTTAGTGCAAGAATGTAAAGATTTAAATAAAAAAGTTGAGGTAAGCTTTTAAAGTTTAGGTAGTCTCTGGATTATGAACATTTTTTTAAAACAAAAATGCTGAATTTTCTATTAACATATTTTGCTAACATATATGGAGTATTTATTGTGTTGTCAGGCACTTTACTAAGTGCTTTATACACATTATCCCACTAGATTCTTACCCAGCCCTATAAGGCAGGAACTATCATACTCCCATTTGTTCAGAAGAGAAAACTATTTGGAATTAAGTAATTTGCACACATACCCATGTAATCAGGATTTGAACCCAGGTTTATATAATTCTAGAGTCTGTTTAGCTCTTATGCTAAACAGCTTCCATTCATACATGGCGACTGATGTGAAGTTCCCTAACACAGAGTGCCTGACTCATCATGGACTCTCAGAGGAAGTTTAAACCTGAAGTTCAATCATATTATGGCGGTGATATAGCTCTCTTACATACTAAGGCAAAATAAAAATGTCTGAGCAGAAAAAATAGAAACTTAATGACTGTTTATTGCTGCAGTATCCCTGACATCATGATATGGCGGTCTTGTATATATTCCTCGCTTGCTTCCAAAAAGAATCTATAATGGTTAATAGCAATGAGAAAGACATTAATACAGAGAAATGTAGAACTAGTAAGATAAGGAAAAAGAGAAGAGTCAAACAAACAGGTTTCTCTCTTAATGTCTGGAATCTGAAAATTAAGTAAGAGATAGCTAAGTGAAGGAGGTGAAAATTGGTCTAGGCTAAGAACAGCATGTTCAAAGGCCTGAAGGCAAGAAGAGAGCGTGGCATATTCGAGTGACTTCAAGCTGGAGCATAGTTTGCAGGAGGGTAAGTGGCAAGAGCTGAAGCTGGAGAGATGGATAGAGGCCAGTCACAGAGGGGTTCCTAGTGGCATGTTAAGAAACTGGATTTCATCGTGAGCACTGAGTCATGCCATTGAAGGGCTGTGATTGGGGGATGACATATTTGCATTTTCTAAGTGTCAGTCCAGCTGCCATGTGAGAGATGACTAAGAGGAAACTAACACTAGAGTCAGACCAGTTTAGGAACATTAAGAGATGGCATGCTGGACTGAGATACTATCAAGAATGAGAGAGAGTAGTTGATACTTAGAAATGTCATCAGTCGTTTGTGTTTAGTGCTTAATTGGCTGTGGAGGGTAAAGGCGAAGAAGGCAAAGAGAACTCCCAGGTTTCTGGCTTAGGCAACTGGAGGGGATGGTGCTGCTCCTCTCCGAGAAGTAAATTGGTAGAGGGGTTGCAGAGAAGATGCTTCATTCAGTTTTGTACATAGGAGTTTTAGGTGCCACAGTCAGTTGGAAGTGTTTTGTGGGCAGTTGGATATACACATCCGGCCCAGTTCATTTCCATGGGCCAGCAAAATAGAGCTGTCAGCACAGAGGTGGCAGTTAACAGTATAGAAGTGGCTGAGACTTTCCTCCAGAATTTGTAGCATGAGAAGAGAAAGGAGCCCAGTACATAGCTACGGTGATGGTGACAGTGGAGCTCTCAGTGGGGACCAAGGGGGAACATCCAGAAAAGTAGTCTGACTCCCAAAAAGCAAAGGAAGAGAGTATCTCAGGAAAAGAGATGAGGGGTTAGCAGTGTCAGATGCTGCTGAAACAGCAAGCTAGGTAAAGCCCTTAAAAAAAAAAAAAAAAAACAGGATTTAACAAAAAAGACCTTATTTTTAACTTTGGTTAAAAAAATTCATTTGTTATAATTCGTTTATCATAAGAAACATTGAACAGGTGGGAAAGGCCAGGTTATCTTGCCCGTGGGGTAGGAAGTAGTCTTCTCTTTCACGTGCATCTCACCTCATACCTATATGGAAAAGGAAGTGAATCTAAGTGGGTGGGTCTGGAAATCGTGTGCCCTGTAGTAACTAACTACTTGGATTTCTTTAAAGCTAGAACTGGATGGTGAGCGAGTAGAACTGCCTGATTTGGAAGGTATTATCGTTCTGAACATTGGGTCATGGGGCGGCGGCTGCAGACTCTGGGAAGGGATGGGAGACGAGACCTACCCTCTAGCCAGGTATGTACATTTGTAGTCTGTTTTTTTATGTCACTGTTTTCTTTAAAGCAGTCTGTCGTTCTTTATAGACTTTCAGCTTCTTAAAATTTTTCCCTCAGATTTTTTTGTAGACTTCATTAATATAAATATTTAATAAGTTGATGGTCCACCTACGTTAAAAAATAATTGTCCTGATTTTATTTTATTGCATTGTATAATCCATATTTCTTTTTCCAATTTTAGGCATGACGATGGTTTACTGGAAGTTGTTGGAGTCTATGGGTCTTTCCACTGTGCTCAGATTCAAGTGAAACTGGCAAATCCTTTTCGAATAGGACAGGCACATACAGTGCGGGTAGGTGAAATATTGCTGTAACAGGCTAATTTGTCCCAGTTCATTTCTAAGCCATTGATATGTAGAAGAAAATATATACATTGTAGCTTTCCTTAAACTGGTTTACAGCCCATGCTGTTGCTCACCCTCCACCAGGGGCTTGAGTGGGATGGGGAAGAAACAGAAAAGAAGGTCCTCGATGCAACTGAAGAAATAAAGTGTTCAGTGGGAAAGAATCCTTTAAACAGTCAATGAATAAGGATATATCCAGATTAATTTTCTAAAAATAAAATGCTAAGATATGTCCCTCAGAATGTTGAAAGGACTATGGATGATGTTTTATTAAGAAAGACCTTTCTGAACTTTTTTGAAACTTGACTCTTTTAATTATTTGTTCCCTAATGCCAGCTGATTTTGAAGTGCTCGATGATGCCAATGCAGGTAGATGGGGAGCCCTGGGCCCAAGGGCCCTGTACTGTCACCATAACTCACAAGACGCATGCACTGATGTTATATTTCTCTGGAGAACAAACAGATGATGACATCTCTAGTACTTCGGATCAAGAGGACATAAAGGAAACTGAGTAGCTGGATGAGGAAATGAAAACTTACGATAGAATCCTCACAAACAGTTGGATGCATAGTCATCCAAAAATAGAAATCCTCTGTCAACTATTTAGTCTTAATTTTACCAGTAGTATAATGAGTATACATTCCTGTAAATAGCATTACAAAAACAGCTAGACTTCCAGTTGTTTACAAATGCCTGTTTTTCAGCAAAACATTTTAATCATATAGTACTCATTTTAAAAAGTCACAGAAGGTTACATGAATGCAAAGTGTATTCTCATGGCTTTATGATTGAGAATGAGGCTCACTCTGAAGGTGTGCTCTCATTCCTTATTCTTGAACCACACATTTGATGGACACATGATACATCCAGCAAGATGTGGGTGGACCATCATTTCTATCTTAATTTTTAATGTGGTAATACCATAACATTTTAAAAATTAACTTGTTTTGAAAGGAGGTGGTTGGTTTCAAACCAGTGTGAGTAATACTGGGCCCCCTCCTGCAGCGTGCATTTTAAGATTTCCTACAGTCCAGCACCTGAAAATGAGGTACATTTTCAGGTGGATCCGTATTTATTTTCAGGAATCCCCCTAAAAGGAGAAATGATACTTTCAAATGTTATTATAATTTTTATTTGAGGTGCATTTTCAGACCCCCAGATGTTGGTTAACCCTGGTAATGACCTTGTTGAGCTGAAATTGAACATCTTGTTTATAACCCAGTGTTGCCAAAAGAGAACCACATAGGAACTGGTAAAAATTAACATTCAGAGCACTTTGGATTGAAAGTTACAGGTTCCGAGCCAGACAGTACAGCAACTTCTCTTTTGATTAAAAACAATGTCAGCAATTCAAAAAAAAAAATGTACTAGAGAAAATTTACTAGTCATGCTAATTGCTTATAAACAGTTCAATAATGATTGATAAGTTTTAAAAATTCAGTGATCTCGTAGTAGTTTGAAGTATAGTAGTCTTTTATAGCCAAAGTACTTAACAGAACTTCCCCTTGGGAAAGTGAATCCTCTGCTAAAATGTTTGTATCATATTTATTTTAAAATGAGAGAGATTTTTTTTTTATTTATTTTCTTCATTGTGGTAACTTTGTGTTTAGTGTTTACTCTATATGGCTTTATTCAGTACGTTAAATTGATCACATAAGTTTTAGTCACAATCAGATAGAAATGCAGCTTATTGACTAAGTAATTAAAACCCATAATTTAATTCTCCTGATAGTCTCATTCTTCAGAAATATTCCTCAGTTAAAAAAAAAAGAAGTGGTGTGAAAGCACTGGCAAACTGTTTTTGAATAACTGAAAGTTTTGTTTCATTGTTTTAGTTGACCCTCAATTGCCAAAAACTCACTGAAGGGTTAGGTTAGTCTCTTGGTTACCCATTAGAGGGCGCTCTTCTCTTGTTAACCACCGTTCTCCCTAAGGTCCTGCAGCTAAGCAGACCCATCTGGCCTCCAGCCCAGCGTTTTTCTGACAAACGGCCTATTCGTGTGCTTTGGCGGTCTTTCGTGACATTAATCTCTGAAAGATGAGACTGTATCCCCTAAAACACCATTAGCTCTTTTTAAGGATTTATTATGAATCTGTCATGCATGAATTGCCATAAACTTAAATTTCAGTCACCTTCAGGCCCAGGAACAACTTAGTGCTGTCTGTAGTAGTCAGTACATAATATAAAATACTTTTATTTTGCTTAAATTAACCTATGGATCTCAACAGGAGATGCTAAATTCTAGTACTGAAGGACTTTGTGAGCAGATCTGTTTCACCTTTCTCATACACCTTTTACAGTAGGTAACCCATTGTGGTGAGAGTTTTGTGGATTCTCATTAATGGGCCGATCATGTTTTGAGTATAATGAGTTTTATTCTTTAATTCATGGTCAAAATTGTTACAGATATCACATGTTACAAATATATTGTTAAATTCACTTTGCTTTAGACTATATTTTATCTATAATCCATACTTCTAATTGTAAAATCAAAGTACATTGCTAATTTGGGATATCAGAATTAAAATAATAAAAGTAACGACATAGGGTTTTTTTAATTGTTAAAACTTTAACCATAATGTTACATTGGATTTAGAACAGGTTTATATACAGCACCCTCATTTATTTAAACAAATTGGTTTTTCAGTTTTCATAATCTACTGAGGTTTTTTTCCTGACTGACCCTTCATGAAGTTTTTGTTGCCTTATTCACTCATTCAGACTTAATTTTTTTTTAGGAAAGTTATTTCAGAATACCATGTTATAAAACATTATTTTAGCAAAATTCACTTTTTAGGCACATTTACTCAGCATTTCAAATAAACATAAAGGCATGTGTCTTGTTTTAAATAATTACAATTTACAAGACTCATGTTTGCAAGTTATATATTAGGGTAGCAATTGTTTACGTTACCAGGGATCCTACCCTTTACAAAAGATAATTTGCCACAAGATTTTCCTTTCCATTTGACATGGTCTTGATTTCTTTAAAATAATACTTCTGTATTCTCAGGAAGAAATCTATGAAGTGAAGCATATCTCCATGTCTGTCTTGATTTCTCTCATCTTTTACTGTGCTTATACGTTACTAACTCCTGGTACACTTAGTGGCTTAAATACTGAAAACCTGGCAGCTCTGTGGATTCCTTACGTAAGTAGGTGGTGATAATTTTCAGTGTTTTGTTACATTTAATAGAAATCAGACTGACTTGTATTTTAAAATATAGGTTGTCTTATAGTAAGATTACATGATCTTAAGTGTGTTTTAGGTTTTTCTGCAACAATTAGCTGTGAACCTTTAATTATAAGCTAATGTTTATAAAAATTTTATAGTCAAAATTATTTATTTTTATTTTTTTAAGGTGTCAAACACATGTAGTATTTGCTTTTTGAAATACGTATGCCTAGAGTTGTAAAATATACTGTGTCTCCGAAATCGTAAAGTCCTTTTTGCACTGTAAAAATGACTACTACCAGCATGTCAAAAAAAAAGATAGTTTGCATTTGTAATATAAAGTAAAATTGTATTTAATGTACACTATGGAATTTTAAATTTGCACTAACTAGAAAACTTTAAAGGTTATATTAATTTACAGATTCATGTGGATCCGAATACGTAACTTGTACTTGTTCAGCCGAAAAGGTTATAGTTTCCTTAGAATGGATGATAGTTTTATGTGGTTTTCCCTCAAAATGATATTATTAAAGTAAAAACCAGCACTTTGTATTCACATTTTTTAAAATTCTACCTAACTTGGGACAATGGAACATAGGTAGATTTATTTTTTTTAATCTAGACATTTAAAAAGCAAAAATAGTGTTGTTACTCTATCCCAATCTGAACGAAGGTGTGTTCTCAACCAGACAGAAGTTTGTTTTGGTTTTACTTTTAAAAAGTATATCCCTGCCTTTCTCAAATTTATCCTTTAAGAACTATCTCCTGTTTCTCAAAGTATGCTCTGCAGGCTGTCTGCAGCATCACGATTACCTGGGAGCTGGGCTAACAGTGTGGATGCCTAAGCCCAGCAGCCCTTGACTTCGTGCACCAGTGTCACGAGAGATGGGATATGGGCATCTCTGGTTTTATTCACAAGCAGCTCAGGCGCTTCTGATATACACTGACATTTTAAAGCTACTGGCCTGCCTCGTGTTCACCTGGGACTTTTGCGAGATGGATACCATGCAGGAAAACTGAATTAATTGCATGTTCTTAAAATTATTTTTTCTTCACTACACTGACTGCCCTTTTTCCCCCCAAATCTTCATTTTAAAAGGAATTTTATGAAACACTTGCTAATGTCCTATACAAATCGAAATATTTATCTAAACTCTATTACATAAAAATTCATGCTTCAGGTTCTTATGGGGAACCATACGTTTTGGAGTATGATCCATGGGGTCTTGGAGGACAAGCAGTGCTTCAGGGGCCAGCGCAGTGGCCGCCCCTGGGGCTCCTGCCCTCTCACCTCAGTCAGTGCCACCACCGCTGGGGTGCTGCTGAAGATAAGACTGCAGTAGATAAAATACTTCCTCTTTTCAAAAAAATACTCCACTATTTTTTTTAAGAGTTTGGAGGCCACTACTCTAATGACTTGTCACCTGGTTAATTTTCTACTCATTTTTACATATTCAGAAACCTCAAGTTTTTGGTAAAACTGTATTGGAGGTCTCAGTTGCTGCTAGGAATATGGCCACTTAGCTATTTCACAAGTTTTAAAGGCATTTTGTTGTATAGTAAAGCACTGGCTTAGCCTCGTTCCTCGTAATTTTAATATAGAAATGGATCATAGTTATGTAAATACACGCATAGACACGCACAGGTTTATTCCCCATAGCCCTGACTATAGTCAAGTGCTTGTGGCTTGCAGGTCTCAAAAAGGGACATTCCGAAGTTCTGGAGAAAAAAAAAAACTCACCCTGCGATAAGATGTTGAAGTGTATTGCTGATCTTAGTCCTAAGACACTTCCTCAGTCTCTGCAAGGACACCCTGGGCTACCTCGCCGTTGAAGGACAGTGTCAAAGCAGAATGCACTTAACAGAAGACAAGCTGTAATCTAGGTGTGGTGCTTTTGGATGATAGGGAAAAGGGCTGGAAAGTTAGGTTGCTTCCCTTGTTCTAGCATTATCCAGGCAAGAGGCCGTCCCAGTCAAATGAGCCTTGGCTGTCTGTGAGAGGATTCTAGGAGTGCAGAAGGCCTTGTGTAGTAGATGACAGTGGTTCATAAGAACTTGTTTTCATTACTGCTATTTGGGCTCTGCCAGCAGTATTTCCCTTTAATGTGTTCTGCTAAAATAAGTCCTGTAGGTAAATTGGCACTTTGATCGTCATTCTGTTTTATACACGTTTAGAGCAACCTGGGTCCTTGGCCCTGCTCACTCTTACAGGTGAACTGACAATCAGATCGCTGTACCAACAGTGTTGAGGAGGAGGCTTCTGCCAGCTCCACGGAAGCAGCCAGCTGGCCTCTTGTACTTTCTCTCCTTCTGGCCACTGTACTACGTACCTACCATTTAATTACTCAGTGTTCATTGCTTTTGTCGTGTTGGGTCTGTATTGTGGTCATTGCCTACAGACAGAAATGTGAATTAAAGCGTTTGATTTGTTGAAGATGTTTGCTTGTTTTTAATAAAAGTACAGCACTTAAAAAGCATGATCCTGTGTTGTTTTTGGACACAACGATGAGAGAATAAGTGGCTAAAACTGAGAACGTTTACAGAAGATTCGTTTCACAGAAGTTTGTCCTTGGCCTACCCCAGGACAAACATTTAGCAAGTTCTGGGTCAGATACTTTTTGACAATATAAAATTTATTTTGTATGGCTTTTGTAGCCTAGGGGCACAGAGTGTACACACACTTGAATAACATTTAGGAGAAACAAACATTTCCTTGCTAATAGAGTGGCCCATGGCAAAGTAGAGCAGTAAGTAGACTGAAATAAATGAGGTGAGTTCATCTCATTTCAGTCACTAAAGTGGAAAGAGTATAGAATGTATTTGAAAGATCTAGGTTAAAAACCAACCTCTGCCACTGTTTAACATTGGGCAAACTACTTATTCTGCCTGAGCCTCAATTTTCTTTGTAACAGTGGGAGTTAGTGCCCACCTAGAGGTGCAAATTCAAATGCTTAGAAGAACAAGGCAGGTGACCAAGACAAGAGTGGGGAGTGAACAGAACTCATCTTTTTAGAAAAGGTAAAAACGTAGACTTTCGATAATAAACCTAATTTTAAAATATTGGTTGGCAACGTATCACCTGTAGCCTCAGGGTTTTGTGATGATTATAGTGGAGAGGGGAAAGTGAAGGCATCTTAATAGACCTGGCAGAAATATGCATTTCCTCCCATTTGAATTTTTTATAAAGCTTTATGTTTTTATCATCTGCGATCTGGATTTCATGTAACATTCTGTGGCATATACCATTTTAAATGTATTCATTAGATATTAGAAGAAGGAGATTCTATGGTTCAGCTTCTTTCTGTCTTCTTTATCCCTAAGTCCATTTTTATAATTTTTTTAAATAAAATTCATTGCTCACCTGCTTGTTTTTATAAATAATGCCAGACATAATGCACCTTGGTCAATTATGAATTATGAATCATGCTTGGCTGTGACGCCCACTGACATTCACAAGGAAGGCTCTCTCGTTACATGACCCCCGAAAACTCATGTTTTGACTTCTTAAACAGCTGTAACACATTTATCGAGTTCTGGGGTGTTGTGCTAGATGCTTTTACTTTTATCTCTTGGAATCTACAGTTCTGTGAGGCAGATGTCATTAACTTCACTTGACAGACTGGTGAGTCTGAGCTAAATGTCGATCCCAAGTCCTCATCCCTGCTTTTCATCATCAAACACACGGCCACCAACAGGATGAAAAAATGTTGAACATAGGAAGACATGTTATTGAATTAGGCACTAGGAATGCTAGAGTTTATCATACAGGCTTCAAAGAGATTCCCCACACAAACAGATCGTGTACATGCAAAGATAAATTATTCATGAAAGGAATTCAGAGATTTTGATGAGCCGAAAATGTTAACACATTGCCTATAAATAAGAATTATTATTATTACTTTTTGAAAATTTTTTTTTTTTCTTTTTTTTTTTTTTTTTTGGTTTGGAGACTAGGAAATAGAAGCAGCATTTTTCTCATGTGTGAGTAGATAGAAAAGTAAATTACTCTGAGAGAAAGCTGTGTAGACTGAGCTCTTGAGGCGGAGGGCTTACCTTGTTCATCTTTGTATTCAAATTAATGAGCATTTCATATCTTCTGTGAAGATTCTGTTCTATGTATTATGAAACGCACTGCAGGCTATTTACTCTCAGCCTCCAATTTCCAGCATTTGGCGTGCACTCAGCAGTCTGAGCAAATGAAGTTGCTGAGGCGCTGCATTCATAGAGTAGCCAGGCAAACAGCAAAGCTGTGTGTGCTCCTACAGCATGCCTGCATTTACTAAAATGACAAGCAGCTCAGTTCCTAACAAGTTTTGAATCCTTGCCAGAACTAGCCTCAGCTATCAGCTAAAATACACAACCTACAGGTCCTTGAGCCCCTGCCAGAGTCAGTCCTGGCAATCAGCCAAAATAAACAACCTACAAATCCAAGCAGACCCTAAAGTCTCCACTAATTTTTCTTTTTTTCAAGTTTAAGTTCACAGGCCTGGGAAAAGATACCAAGACAAGCAAGGCTGTAGTTAATTAACTACATCCCTGGAACCTTGCTTCAGATATCAAAGAGAACTCAAGCTTCTTGCCAGGGCTGCACAGCTATTTACAAACACTAGCTGCCTTGCCCTTCATAACCGATAAACGCTCAAACCCCTTACCCTTCAGGGCCAGCGTTATTCTTAACGTGTGGCCCCTTTCCACACTTGGAGAGTGAATAAACTTTTCTACTTCCTGACTTTGTGAATTCTTTTACACCCCGCGGTACCAGCACCCTAAAAAATGCCACATGCTCCATTCTCTGGAAAGCGCCCCCAACTAAAGATTCTGTCCAAGAGGCATGCTCGTACCACGTGATCATTCCTCCCTTGTGGCCGAGAGGTCCCGCGGAGCCCATCAATTGACCAGCAACCAGATTCTTCGTTGGGTTTTGTTCTCACATATCCTTTAAATCTGTGCTACTCAAAAAGGATAGCTCACATTTGCTTTCGATCCATCGGGAAATAAGTACAGAAATTGAGAGTAAGAGTTTAGAAAGTTTTATAGTTATTTTGACAGTTGACTATTGAATCTAACCATAGTAAAACGTGCCTTGTATTCCGTATGTCTTTTTCATGTTATTTTCCTCTATCGTACTTTATAAAAATATCAAAACATGATTTATTGGAAAAAAAATTTTTAATGAAACAAAACACCTTATTCTTCACCACAAATAGTTTGAGAAGCTGTGGAGGAGAACCATTCTATGAAGTGACCACTGCCGGACCCAAGAACTGGACCTGGGCCGGAACAGAGTTTACTTACCGCAAAGCCTCCTTAGAGACTGTCTGATCATAATCCGTGTTCATTCTTACATAAATTAGCACCCTTCCCCTCCCTCCCACTGCATGCTGGCTCCAGGAAGAGGCCAGTTACCTTGACCTAGCCAAGCATGTAAATTAATTTCCTCCACCTGGTAGCACTCACATACTAGTACCCATGACTATTCCCTCCTTTTACCCTGTTTATAATTCTTTGGCACCTGCCAAGCAGCACAGGGCTCTATTTCGTCTTC